TTCTATACAGTATAGTAAAGAACAGGACAATTCTATGCATGTTTTTCAGACATAAATATTATATTCCAAAGTAGAAATTTACAGGAATGTACTATTTTTCAATATCACTAATACTTAAATCATAGGAAAATAATAATCTCATAAAAAATGTAAGGCTAATAAAAAATGAAAAGCTGTAAGGAATTTCTCTTCCTAAGAAGCAGGGAAAATTGTTCAGGAAAAATGTTAATTTTGCAATAGTTGAAGGTTGCTTCATCTGACTCTAGTCTATGTTTATTCAGAATGTGTTAAGTTTAAAGGGTATAACACTCAGCAAAATGCGCACAAGATTTAGACAACTACTTGTTTATGCCATAATCTTTGAATTTCAAATTTCAGATCTTGATACTTTGTGATCTTCTCCACGTCTTCCATTCTACTGTCCCATAATATTGTCACATCAATTATCCATACTTTCATCTTTTCAACCAGTTATACCTGGTGTGTTATGAACCAATATCTTATCAGTCTATATTCAGAAATACCACAATATTTTAACCTACTCATTTTCGCCTACTTTTTCAATTCTATGTTCCCACCAATTTTTTTATTATTATCATGTGATTTTTTTCCAGATGTTCCAGTGAATCATTTTGGTGACTGAATTATGTCATTGTTTATAATCAGTCTGTGATATCTTCTTATAAACTATTCTGCTTCTTCTTATATCATATCTTTTTATATTTAATTTAAGGCGGTGAATATACCTAATATTATAGAATAATTACCACAAGGATTTCCTTGCAGTGTATGAGTGTAAAATACATCAGTGTTCAGGATTTTAGAGCATTAAGATATTTCCTCTATGCTAAAAGATCTCTAATATATAGACTCTCCATAACACAGAGGTGTTTGGTTTTTTAAAAAATACTTCATATCAATTCAGGTACCGGTATTTTTATTTTCCACTGAAACTGATCTGTTTTCATAATCTCTTACGAATTATCAGAGAATTAGAAATCAGTGAAGTAATGAATGAAATGTTTTTGAGATAAGTTTTCTAGGTCTTATGCAATATTTTTTAAAAAAAATATAAATGAGGGTAGCGATTGCTATTACACATGGCAAAGGTTACTCTAAAAAATAGGCCGTTACAGATTGGAAACATCCCAGTACACACTGGACTTTAAACTATCACAGGACATGCCATGTTTTATTCTGGATCCACATCACCAGTAATAAATTCTTATATATTATGAACTACAAACCTGTTACATAATTTAAATCTTATTTCTAGATTTTGATAGTCGTACATTTGCTTAAAGTTAACTTACTAAAAATAAACTTCAAACACTGAAAGCATGCCCCACAACCTCAGTATGTACCAAATGAAGTTCAACACTTTGGGCAGAAGACATAAATGTATATATATTACATATTTATTACACCAAATGAACATCTGAGCCAGTCAGTTCAATGCTACCCATCCTCATATGGTTCTTCAAGATCTTAGATGGAGCATTTTCAAGCCTATGACTGGAAATCATTTACTAGATATATGAAAGACGAAGCATGAATTTTCTATTTGAAGCATGCATTCTAATGTTCAACTAGCACATTCAACTAACCTTTATTAGGCTTTATTAGAATATCCAATACTCAACCTTAATCAGAAAATAATTTATAACCATTCCATTGCATTCCAATGCAAAATACTTTATAGTAGAAAAACTGCTCCAGTAGATTTTCTTATTCATAACACAAACAGTTTTGCACTACAGTATAAATCCTGTTCCTTTTTAACAGTTCAACAAAACTTCTATAACCTGGCAATTCTATTTTTTTTTATTTTATTTTATTTTTAACCAACAAAACAAAACAAAGCAAAACATAACACACATACACACACACACATACTCCTCTCCCTTTTTTTTAACAGCGATTACGTAACGGTAATCTTCTATTATTTACATTTCCCCCCTTACTTTTCTTTAGAATATTTGTCCTTATTGCCCCGTTGTTTCTTATTTACATTTTTCTTCCTTCATATTCTACTTCTTACTAATAATTCATATTATTATTATACATTATTATACACATATTTTCACTTTTGACCTTTCCATATTTATTCTCCTCTATTATTTCTAGTCTCCAACCAGTCATACCACTTGTTCCATGTTATATAGTACTCTGTGTCTTCCTTTTCTTTTATCTCTTTTGTTAATTTGTCCATCTCAGCACAGTCCAGGATTTTTCTTATCACTTCTTCCTCTGATGGTATATTCTCACTTTTCCAGCACTGTGCATATGCTATTCTTGCCGCCACCGTTATTATATGTAAAATTAAGTACCATATTTCTTTATTATATTTCCTGTTTAAAATACCCAACAAAAAGATCTCTGGTTTCCAATCTACGGGTTGGTCTATTATTTCTTCGTTCCATTTTCTTATTGTAGTCCAGTATTTTTTTGCAACTGGGCATGTCCACCATAAATGATAATATGTTCCATGTACTTTTTTACATTTCCAGCATGTTGGCGAATTGTTCTGAACATCTTGGCAAGCTTTGCTGGTGGAAGATGCCATCTGTAAAACATCTTCAACTGGTTTTCCTTGAATGCCGTCAACATAGTCAATTTTATATTTATTTCCCATATTTTTCCCATTTCTCCAATTCTATATTATATCCAAAAATTTTTGCCCATCTAATCATTGTTTTTGATAACCTCGTCTTCCATTTTGTATCTCAATAGGTATTTGTATAAATTGCTAATAAATTTTACTTCTGTTCCATGTATAATTTTATCCAATTCTTGCGGCTCTTTTTGGATTTCATATAATTTTTTGTCCTCTGTATATTTAGATTGAATTTGTGTAAATATCCACCAGTCAATCTTTCTGCCAATATCTTGTTCCAATTCTTGTTTTGTTTTCAGATTTCCCTGTTCATTTACTAATTCATTATATCTAATTATCTTATTTATATCCAATAGGTTTGGGTATTTCAGAGCTTCTGTTGGGGATAACCACATTGGAATTCTTATATAATGTTTTTGTTTTATTTTTTCCCAAGTCTGTAGCAATGCATTCCTAACTATGTGTCTTTGAAAGTATCTGTGTATTTTATGTTTTTCGTCCCATAGGAATACATGCCACCCTGCTTGCAAGTCATGTCCTTCTATTGTTAAAACTCTAGTATTTTTCAAATCCATCCAATCTTTTAGCCAAGTTAAGCTCAATGCTTGGTAGTATATTTCCCACTCTGGTAATGCCAAACCCCTTTTTCTTTCATATCTTGCAAGAGTTTTAATTTAATCCTGGGTTTTTTCCTTTGCCATATAAATTTAGTGACCAATTTATTTAATTCTTGAAAGAATGTTTTCCCTAATTTTATTGGAATAACCTGGAACAGAAATAATATAATAATAATATAACCTGGCAATTCTAAATGTGTTGGGAATGTAACACCCTGAAATCCTACCTTAGTTAGAATAGAAAACTTGCTCTAATAAATGTTCTTCAGAACCAAATTATCAGGGATATAGGTTCTTATTCAATTATTAGATTTTTATATCTATACACACACACACTCAACTTAAGGTGATGAATGTACTTAATACTGCTGTGTATTTTCCCCACAACAATCCTGTGAGGTGGGTTGGCCTGGTTCAAAGTCACTAGGCTGGCTTTCATGCCTAAGAGAAGCCTAGTTTTAAGCCTCCTGATTTTTAGGGCAGTCCCTTAACCACTACACCAAACTGACTATCTCTTCATCATAAAAGCATCTACAGTATGACAACTTCTCAAAATTCATTTTCAGAATGCCTGCTTCAAATATATTTCTTAGGATTACTTTCATGACATTTATGTTTTATCACAATAAGAGAGTATTGCTAATTATGTTGGCTAATTATAGTTTATTGTATTGTGGAAACTCAGACAATTAGGTTAATCTGATAAATGAGTCTTTATAAAAATTTTGACCAATTCTAAAGCTTGTTAATAAGATTTGTCTTTAAATGCAATTATACAATCAGTTATTAGTATTTTAAAACATATTAATTCACAGAATTCAGTCCATTCTGAAATACTGGCAAACTCCTGCTATTGGAGTCTGACTTTCCTATCATAATTTCAATGCTAACAGGCATGTAAATTTCAGTCAAAGCAAAATTAACAAGTCTTTCATATTGCATTTAGATCCACTTTATACTTGGTTTTTATGTTCACTTCTCTGTCTGTAAATGAAGAGTTTTACATAGTTCAACTAAGAATACCCCAGATTTGTTAGGAGAATTTGATTACACTTCCATCTTTGGATCCTTGCAATGAATATAATTCTATATTATATTCAATATAATAACTAAAGAAAATCCATTTATTTCTCTAACCAAGCCATCTTTAAAAAAACAAAACAAAACACTGCTTTTTGCATGGAGAAAAGAGGCCTGAACCACATCCTTCCTCTCATCACGCATTTCCTATCTCACTAGAGCACACATAGCTCAACTTCACCTTAAGAACGCCGCGTTTCTGCCCTCCCGTAAATTTGCCTCCCTTCTCACGGATTTCATTCGCCGCGTTTTGAAGCGTACTCGCTAAGCCGCAAGAAAGACAAGCATCACCGGCAGCCACACTCCATCCTAACCAAGTTCTCATTTTTTGAAAAGATACGCGATGAGCGTAAAGCAGCCCCAAAACTTCATTTCGCCATCTCACGCACTTTGAGCTGCCTCAGATCGCCCACCCTTCAGCTTGTTCGGACAGCAATTACAAGGCCAAAGGGACGGGGCTCCTCTGCGGCTGGATCTCCTTCTCGGAGGTAGGATGTCCACTCTCCACAAAGTGTACGGATTTACTTTCACCCGACGCCTGTCCGGCGATCCCCCTAAAACAAGATCTGGATGGACAGGAAACCTAAATTCCGGACCTGGAGCCAGAATATACTAAAGGCGCTTGGATTCAGCCACCCCCAAGGCGTCGAAAATCCGCCAGCGCGTCCACGCTGAGGTCTACTCACTCATAATGCTCCTTTTCGCCTTTCTCTTTAGCACACCACCTCCCCTTCGCACGCCGGACAAGACAGCGCCCCCGGCGGGAGAGCGAGCCTCGCCTCTGTCGCCCCTCACCCAGAACTCGCTTCCTCGGAGGTTGTCGCTGCCGCCGCTGTTGTCGTGGAGGGAAAAGAGGAGGCGCGCCTCTTCCGTTCCTCTCTCCCGGCTGAAGGCGGCGGTGACGAAGGCTATTCCGCGGAGGGGGCGGAGGAGAACTGAGCGGCGGAGCAAAGCCGACCGGAGGAACCGCCCCAGCCTACATTACGGCAACTGCGCAGGCGCGTCAGGACCCATGCAAAGGCGCGCTCGACTATCCAGGTTGGAATCCAACCACGGAGATTGGAAGGGTATCTGTTGGGACGACCTGCAGAATCGAGCCCCGAAAGTTAACCAAGGAACGGGATCGCGGCTCCATGCCCTTTCCTCATTATCCTTCCTTCCGCCTTCCCTGCTCCGAGACGATTCGATTTGTTAAGTCTGTCTCGTTCCCGTGTCGTCCCCGAAGCCAAAGTTCAGAATACAATATTGCTCTTAGCTTTCATTCCTTCAAACATTCAGCATCTTCAAGCTGAATGAAGTAAACCGGGAATAATTAGCATTCTCACTAATCTGGAGTCTAAATTCACTTCTTTATAGTGTTTCTATCTGGTGTATTAGTTAATAGAATATAGACTTCTTTATTGGCCAAGTGTGATTGGACATACAAGGAGTTGATTTTCAATTTACAAGGAATTGATTGCACAAGAGATAAAGTGTTCATGAAGATGAACTTCAATTTAACACTTGTGCCATATCCATTATCGGACGTTGGCAATCATGTTAGCAATCCTATTTTTATCAGCAGCCGCACGAAAAAGTGCTGCTGAGTTTTGTCCAAACCAGTCCCTTAGATTTTGAAACCACAATGTTCTTCTGCCCGGACCTTATTTGCCTTCAATCTTTCCCTGGAGGATTAAATGGAGTATGCCGTATTTTACTAGGTGTCGCATCACATGTCTGAAATATTCTAACTTTTGTTTTTTAATTGTTTTGATGATTTCCCTTGGCTTTCACAGCTGCTTATCACCTCCTCATTTCTGATCTTTAACCTGGAACAAAATAAAACTTGACTATACTGCAAGAAGCATGCCAGTACTCCTACCCTCTTAACATATTGGTAAATACTATTTACTATGTTACAACTTATGGTAAATGCGAACTTCCTTCTAATGAAAGCCACATCCTGCTTATTACTTAGAGAACAATAATTATCATGGTAAAAAGGGAATTTTAATTGGAAGCTGTTATTTAATTAAAACAGGTGTGCCTATATTTGGCCTTCCCATTGTTTCAATCAGAGATCATTGCATCAGATATGGCCCTTGGATTAATCATCCAATAACTCTGTGCTCCTCAAAATGTAACGTTTTTATGCTCCATATTTGCTGATTACAATTTCCAGCAGGCCCAGCCACATGGACAATGATAAGTATGTATTGTACTGTATAGTGCTAAGGTGACCAACCGTCCTCCTTTTGGGAGGACAGTCCTCCTTTTTTGAGTTCTGTCCTCCCTCAAAAAGTGTCCTCCTAAATGTCCTCCTTTTCCATATACCGTCCTTCTTTTGGGAGGACAGTCCTCCTTTTGGGAGTTCTGTCCTCCCTCGAAAATGTCCTCCTTTTCTATATTTGAAAACTTATCTGCAGGGCTTTTTTTTCCTCATAGAACGCTCAGAAAGCGTTCCGAGACATTTTTTTGATGGTTTTTTTCAACTTTTGCCTGAGCTGTGCTATTCCCCCTATTGGCTTTCGAAAGCCAATAGGAATTGCTGCGGGCGGCAAACTTTGCACGTGCAAGTTGCAGGAACTTTGCACCCCTCACTACTACCCAACTACACCATCTCTTACTTAGTTCCGCAGATAGCTGGAGGAGACTGGAGCGGTAAGTTTCTCTTGATCCTCCCTGTTCGGTTCTACACGGGGATGCACAGGGTAGGCGGTGGTGCTGGGGGGCGGCTGCAGGGCCGGAGCCGGCACAGCTGGTGCTTTGCGAGCTGCAGGGCCAGCTCTACGGGGATGCACAGGTGGGCAGTGGTGCTGGGGGGCAGCTGGGGGGATGGCTGCAGGGCCGGAGCCGGCGCGGCTGGTGCTTTGCCTTTGTGAGCTGTGGGGCCGGCTCTACGGGGATGGGCAGGGTGGGCAGTGGTGCTGGGGGGCGGCTGCAGGGCCGAAGCTGGCTCAGCTGGTGCTTTGCAAGCTGCGGGGCCGGCTCTCCACGGCAGGGCAGCGGTGCTGGCAGGGGAGCTGTGGGCGGGGGCGCGGCGGGCAGTTGACCTTCCATGGGCCGCACCAGCTGGTGATCTACACAGTGCTGACCTGCGCTGCCACCACCTCACCCTGCACACCTAGGTGGCCATCCTGGAGCACCTGGCTCAGAACACCTGCCTCCGCCGCCCACCCCCGCTCAGTCCAGCTGTGTAGATTTTTGGACAAGTGAGAAATCGAGATTGAATGTTGATACTCTAGCTGCAGCACTTGCCGTAAAATTCAATATGAAGGATATTTCTTGTTCAGATATTTCCAATATATTGTTAGAAGATGATACATTGATAAAAAATATTCATTCAATGGAAAAGTACTCATTTAAATAATTAATAGGCATGTAAGCATAATTACAATATAAAATGTTATTGTTACAAATGTTTTTTATTATGCATTTATCATATTATAGTGTATTCTGTATTATTTTTGCAATAAATACAATGTTTATTTTATTTACGATATTTTTTTCTTCAATTTATTCGTGTCCTCCTTTTTGTTGTAAAAAAATTGGTCACCTTAATAGTGCCACAATACAAAATAGTTCTGAAAGCTGCATGCAAGGCATTAACTTATCTGTTTGGCATTTACTTACCTGTATGCTTATTTGTTTATTTATCACATTTAGGAACTGATCATCTCCCTCATAGAGGAACTCTGGGGAATGTACAAGTAAAATGTTCAAAACATAAAAAGTAAATTTAAAATTTAAAATACAGGCAAAGATAATTAAAGTTGAATTAAATTTAATAAAAGATGGGGGGAACCTTTCAGGATGCAAACCATCCTCACAGCTGTGTGCTCATCTGTGAGCCCTAAGCAAGATGACAGAGTCAGGGCTTTAGATATTTTCCAGAAGACCAGGAGAGTGGGGGCACACACTGCCTCTGGGGGGGAGAATGTTTCAAAGGGCATGGGCAATGGCAGAGAAGGCTCTCTTCCTGGACACCATTAGTTGGTATTCTTTAACTCAGTGGTTCTTAACCTTTTTGAACAAATTGCCCCTTGAGCCAATGAGGACGTTGTCATTGTCCCCCTCCCCCAACATAACCTCTCAATCACAACATAGGAAATAATTCTTCAATTTATGCAAACACTTTTTTTTGTTTTCTTTAAAATATCGATGCAAATAGTTTATTTCCAGTCTTTTTCCCATATCTCAACTGTGAAAAATTTTGGTGCCACCCGGCACTTTATTCCCAAACTTTGTGATACATGTATTTCATTATTATTTTATTTATTCAAGACACTTAAATGTAATCACCACTGAAAACAAAATTCAATTGCAAGAAAGTGAAATACCCGAAAAGAAAAACAGTAACATTTAATGATTGAATTACAAGTGAAATTTAAGACGCAAAAAGAAATATAAAGAGGGCATAAGAACAAACCGCAATGCAGGAACTAAGAATTTCAAGACAAAAATTCTGAAACTAAATTAAGATTTGAGGAAAGTATATATAGTCACGCACACTGTAAAAAGGATTAAAAAGACACAAAGAAAATATAATATCAAACTGGAGTGCACCTTAAAAAAGTACAATACAAAGAGACACACAAAATGTTTTACAGAGCACAACAAAAATTCGAAAACAAAGCTGAAAACTCAAACTGTAACATCAACATTACAGCTGACGTCACAGAGGACAGCCACTCAGTATGCGATGTTTCAAAAGAAGCGCCCCCCCCTCCATCACTGCCCATTCTGGCCAATGGCGCACTACTGTATAGGTAAAGGCTGCTGCACATGAAGATAAGCGATGCGTATTCACATATGTACGGCGTTCTATACTGAAGCTAGCTGGAGGAACATTTGAAAACACAATTCAATCCACTAAGAGCGACTGATCGGATGTTTTTGTACAACAGATATACAGCGATTCACTGTACGAAAAAGTCTCCATATCGCCCCCTTTTTGTTCCTTCACCCCCGTGTCGCCCCTTTTCGTTCCATCGCCCCCCTGAAAAATGAAATCGCCCCCTGGTTTAAGAACCACTCCTTTAACTGACAGGGTCTGCAACTTGCCTTCCCTATCTGCCAGCTGGGATGGGCTGATGTGATGAGGTAAAGACAGTTCTAGCCCCATGCTATGTAGGGCTTTAAATATCATAACCAACACCTTGAATTGGATCCAGAAATAGACTGGCACCCAATGCAGCTTGTGCAGCAAAGGGCTTATATGCACCCAAAAAGGCTTTGGGCAACCAAAATTGTCCTCATGGCTGCATTTTGTGTCAGATGAAGTTTATTGTTGACTTACTGAAATTCATAAAAGCTGGCAGCTCGCTGAAATTAAATGGGAGCCTAATCTGTGAACAGGAGTAGCCAATACCTTACATTGTAAAAAAAGAAAAAAGATCAGAAATAGAAGTCACCTGAAAATAAGGTTTTCTACTTGGGAAAAAAAAATCACCTAATGATTGAAAACATGTATGTAGATATGTTATTGTTCTTCACCTGAATATTTTGGGACATTCAGAATTATATGGTGTCAGAATCAGTTTGTAATTTTGGAGGTTCCTGACTATAAATAGAATTCTTGTTTGAGCCAACAGTGCAGCAGCAGCCAAAAAAGCCAATGCAATCCTAAGCTGCATTAATAGAAGGATAGAATCAAGATCACATAAAGTTCTAGTGCTGCTTTACAAAGCCTTAAAAGACCACACTTGGAATACTGCATCCAGTTCTGGTCACTACAATACAAAAAAAAAATATTGAGACTCTGGAAACAATGCAAAGAGGAGCAATAAAAATGATTAGGGGCTGCAGGCTAAAATGTACGAAGAACCGTTATAGGAATTGGGTATGTCTAGTCCAGGGGTCGGCAACCTTAAACACTCAAAGAGCCACTTGAACCCATTTCCCACAGAAAAGAAAACACTGGGAGCCGCAAAATCCTTTTGACCTCTAAAATGAAGATAACACTGCATATATCCTTTTTACCTTTATATATGTCTCTCTCTCTCTCTCTCTCTCTCTCCGTTTCTCTCTCTCCCTCCCTCCCTCCTTCCCTCCCCCTCCCACCAGCCTCTGCCTCAGTTCACATGCTCTCTCTCTCTCTGTGTCTATCTCCGTTTCTCTTTCTTTCCCCCTCCTTCCCTTCCCCTCCCACCAGCCTCTGCCTCAGTTCACATGCTCTCTCTCTCCATCCCTCTCCCTCCCTCTCTCCTTCCCCCACTGCCCGCCAGCACCGCTTGCCCTGGGCCTGGCTGCACATCCAGGAGGCC